GAAATGTTCGTTTTACGTTAGAGACCAAACAAAGATCTATTGGTACTTGATACTATCACAGTGATCAAGTCTGTAAGTCCAGAAGTGCCTGATAATGTCGAGTGTACATTTGATTGTCGATTAATATTATTCTTCATTTATATGTATAGACGTTTCCGACCTGCATTTTGGTCGTTTCAGATTATTTTGGCCTGCAACGCTTATCTGTCTGCTTGTCTCATTTTGGCTTTTTTCCATCTTCTATGGTGGTTTTATGAAATAACACACAAATCGACCAGTGAAGATGGCAACATATCGAAACGCGATAACAGGCGATCGGAAACGACCAAACAGGTCCATCACCACGCGGACCCCAAGAGATCTCACATTTACGCTTGTGTTTCACTTTCGATTAAAAAATCGACGCCACAAAGCGTGATTGGGTAAACCAAGAAAGGCAAGGAAAGGAGTTCGGATGAGGAAGGCATCGGCATAACATGAACCATTAAAAGCACGACAATCATCCACTGACTATGGCGTGATGACGGAAAATGCCCGGCCACGAGCAACGAGAACAGACGAACACGGAGATGATCAGTAATCATGAAATATTGAATCAAAATCGATTTATGTATTTGTTAAAAAAAACTTAACTGCAGTCATACGATAAACCATAATCTAGATAAGCTAAAAACAGATGTTTTTTATAGGAAGACCAGACGAGATTAGCCTATTCTAAACTACTGCAAATTATGGAACAGAATATATTTTTAATTCCAAATATGTGTTTGAAATGTTTAGAGTTGCGAATATCAGAACCTAACTATTTATTCTACTCATTTTGAGGGGGAACTTAAGGAACATCATTAATAATTATGAGAAATAATAAGGAACATAAATGAGAACCCTGTGGTACTCCAGATTTTAAGTTTATAAATTTATACAAACAATTGTTAATTTTTACTTGGTGTTGCCTTGTTATTAGAGTTAGCACGGTACAATTTGACACAATCAGGGAAGAGCAAAATCAACGTCAATTACATTATTAATAAATATGAAAAATAATAAGGGACTAAATGACAAACCTGTAATACTCCAGATTTTAAATTTATAAATTTAGACAAAGCATTGTTTTGTTTTTACTTGATGTTGCTTTTTTATCAGTGACAACAGGGTACAATGCAACATCATCAGCAAAGATCAAAATTAACTTCAGTAACATCATTAATAAAGATGAAAAAGAATAAGGGGTGTCTAAATGAGAACCCTCTGGTCCTCCAGATTTTACGTTTATCAAATTCGAGAAGCAATGTTAATTTTTACTTGATGTTCCCGACCATGCAGATAAGAATGAAACCTGATTTTAAAAGTTAGAACAAATGGCTTACTAATGACATCAACTTGTGTTGTGAATGAAAGCATTTAGCATAAAATTTTCAAACAGCAGAAGATTTTAAGTAGGTACTTGATTTGTCAGGTTGAAAACCATGTACAATATGATACATTTAGTACAAAGAGATGTTTATTATAACTTAGACCAAAGATTCAAAATTTTTAACAATATTAGACTGATGGCCTTAATCACCCCGTGTGTACTTCAATGATTTTCATTATTTAACCCTATTAATATTCTTTAATTTTCGATCTTCTGCCTTTTCTCGCTAGGAAAAGGGATGAAAAAGTTGTGACAGCATCTCAGTTTTTCACAATAATAACAAAGATTACAAAAATAAAGTCAAAAATATAGCACAACGTCTCATGGTAGGAATTGACTAATCTGTCCAATTTTTCATTCCGATTGGGATGTATTGCCAACATGGTAAATTCATTAATCCTTCCGAATCACCCCCGCCAATTTTATTGCCCTTATATACATATTATCGCGACAATAGGCAAAGCGAGAAGGTCCGAAAGACAAGGGGTGTAAAAAAAATTAGCTAAAGACTACGCCTCCAGGGGTTGAACGACGAGAGGGGGTGGATATTTGCGGAGTAAGGCGGGTCAATAATACTTGAAGAGAAGGGTTGCATCTCTAGTGCCCCGGCCTCCTCGTTCGTCCTTTCCCTTTTCCATCGGCCCTTTTCCAAGAGGGGAAGGATGCCGGTTGAGTTCATGGTCACCCCTCTGAACTTGACCCCTGACCTAGTTGGGGCGAGTTCCACACGGAGCGACACGAGGCGGACCACGCCATCAACGCCATCTCTTCAACTGACGTTCAACCCTTGACGGTATTACCCCGATTCCGCGCCTTGTACCATCATCTCATATATTTTCTTCTTGAATTTCTTTTTACCCCTTCTACGATTTTTATATTGATTCATATGAAAATTGCTCACCACAAATTTACTTTTTCTCAATTTTTTCAGTAATAAAGTTACTGCTGAATATATAAGAAAAGAAAAAATTCACTATCACAAGAAGATTAATAGATTACAACCAAAAATGTCGTGGTATCTTCTGGTTTATTATTGCAACTGTAATATTTACTCAGTTTCTACAACTAATAACAGGCTTACTTTCTTAAATTATCTCATGTTCTACATAAGCCTCCTATTTTATTTACTTTGAAACATTTCAAACAATTGTAGAACTATCTCCTCGAGGAATATCGAGTACACTGGGGGTGTGAACGTGACCATACTTCTATGTCAATTGGAATGAATGTAATTTATTAGCGTGAAAGAGAAAGGTTGTTTAATCCCGCCCCGAGGAATATCGAGTATTCTGTGAGTGTGAATGTGACCAGACTTACTGTATTTGAATATATATTTATATGTATTGTACGTTTTGTGTCTATACTGTAGTTGGAAACCTGCTAGTATTTTAGGATATCGACTTAATTTCTTTAAAAAACCGAGAGTAAGTAACAGATAGAGACGCTCAAATGGCTGCATTATGAAAAATACCGCGAAAAGTCAGCTAAAGAAAGAGAAATACGAAGAGTGCCAGCGATGACCTCAGATTTTGTCGGCCCCTAAACTTTCTAAATTATGTTATGTATATGTAGAACTATGGATGCCGAATGGTTCACACCTAAATACGAGCAATAAAAACTTAATAATCGCATTTCTCAATTATCTTAGATCAGCCGTATTACTAATAACATTAATATCTATTCGTCAGGCTTACACATTTCTACAGACTCCTCATCAAAGCACATTAAAAGACAAATTTAGCTAAAATATTTCCCACTTGGAACCTTGAAAACGTTAAGTTTTAAATATATAATTGCGGGCCTGGTCCGTCTGTCCTCGCTTTTCGTCTATAAAACGTGTTTCATCACCTTCACCGGATCTCACTCAATTCTTGCTACAAGGTGGGACGAGTTGAGACTATACTAAGTGATTAGGGATGAATGTACCCTGTGCAATTCATTATTTACTGGGACACCAAAATGGATCAAAATTTATTTGACCTCTCATTTCTAAACTACTATAAGTTTTCTTTCTGTAATCGGATTTACGATCCATAAAATTAGTAAATTAACGCTAAATGAATTAAAAATTGTTAAATAAAAACAAACCCAAAAGATGTAATTTTTTATTAGAAAAAAAAAACCCCATCCTTTTTGACATTCATCTTTCACCGGGGTAGCATAAAGCGACTAAATAGGATTTACAAAATCAATTTTTTGCATTAAAAATACCATCATAAAGAGAAATTTACGATAAAACGACTGACTCGTGTAGAAGTAGGGGCGAAAGATGCACTACCTATCTAAACTATTTACTCCATCTAAGTATCTGGTGTGCTTCTACAACTTCCACTTTTCCGTGAAGTGCGAAATGAATTCCATAGATCGGTGGTGTCCGTTTTGAAAATTTAATTTATTTGGATTAACATAATAAAGTTACTAGGAAGTGATTTAGTAATTAATAATTAACTTAAAGTTGCTAAAGATTGGATGTAAATGAATGACGATTGAGATTAATCAAATTTGAACTTTTTTCTTTTCTTTTATTTCAAACCTTAATAACTCTTAAACGACAAACTCCACAAGAAAAGTGCCCTAAGTAAAATCTCTATAAAAATCGTAGAATTTAAGTATTCAAAATGTTACCTTCCCATTAAAAAAAAAGTTGCTGAGCCCTGGGGACGTACCGCACGTTGAAAAAAAATTGACTTCAGATTTAGATTGAACGTAAAAATAAAGTAAAAGACCTACTTTTTCAAATTATTTCCAAACAAAAGAAATAAAAGGGGGTATAGTATATCATTATAAATGCAAGCAGTAATAAAACAAGGGTTGACATCAGAAATTTCAGTGGACAATGTACTTCTTAAAAAAAAGACCGAAATGGACATAGGTTGAAGGATGTCCTCGAGTCGGATCGCGTCCTTCAGGACTTCAAGAAGGACTTAACCCCAGGATAATGGAAAGGCAAGCAAATCCGCCTACAAGGAAATAAATAATGCAAATCTAAAAAAAATATATTAGAGAGGACCCTTCAATCTGTCCTACAGCAATGGCTAAGAATTAATCGCACTACCAATTTTCATGGGTTTATACGGTAAAAGTGTTTCTTAATAACCTTCTCTACCTATCTGTTCTTTACTACCTCATAACTTATTAAAAAAAAGTACACAACAATGAAAGATGTTAAATAACCCTGTCAGTCTAAAAACAATGAAAACAGGCATACCACGAAATCCAAAGCAAATTTCACAATGCTAACTTGTTAGAAGCCCGCTTTATATTTACAGTTAATTAAATTATAATCGATGCAACCGTTTTAAATTATTAGGCATGTTGACTGCAAAGAAACTGACCACAGACAAGGATGTGAGACTTACGTTGAATTGCCTAAGAGGCGGTAGTTCCGGTTAAACGGAGTGAACAGGTTGCGGTTAGGGCTTTAAATGATACGAGGGCGGCGTGGGCCCTTTAAGGGTGGATGTTCCCAGATACCGCCCATTCATATCGTCCTAGCACATTTTCACATCGATCTTTCTCTTCAAATTGCCCCTTTTTACCCAATCTACCGAATGAAAAAATTCAATTTTTTTCTCTTCTTTTTCAGCATTTACTGTACCTGAACCATGATTACCCTCGCGGCGAAAGAGGAAGAGGAAGGGGGAAAGGAAGAGGTGGCGGGGTAAGTTAATTTTTTTCTATATCTATCATACTTCAATCAATCAATATCGAAGTTGGCTTCGCACAAAAAAATAATAATAAAAATTAAAAATAAAATAAAACCCAGTGATCTATGATTTTAAACAATCACTGACCACTATTACCTTATCAGATCTATTGTGGATTGGTCTCACTTGTACTTGACCTTGTAAAATGAATTTGCTTTAGAAATTTTATCAATTTCATCGAAACATTACAAACTTAAAATCTCTGAAATCTCCTAAGCCTACAGTATGAAGTCTGCATTTTCTTGGCAGAGTGATTTTAAACAGGTTTATGTCTGTCCTCAATTCTTACTGCTAAGCGAGAGATAGATGTTTTTTTGTTTGGTATAATTAAAAGCGTTATTAGGGTTTTATGCATGAGAGTTCAGGATAAGTGTGAGATTCTCTATTCTCCAGCAAAGCATTAAGTCTCAGTTTAAGTCTGATCAGCTTTGACTGTCCTGACATCTCTGGGGATTAGCGTGTATTCTAGTTCCCACCAACCACCGCTAGAACTCATCAGCAACACTTCGATCAGTTATGGAATTGACCAGCAATATCTTTGATGCGTTGTAATTTTGGTATACAAATTTCATATTTTTGATGTTTCTATTATAAAGAAATTGTGCCTTTTTTAATTTTAATTTGATTTTGAAGGAATTTTCAATCATGAGGTATTATTTTTTCATAAAATGAAGAAATATAAAAAGTGCTTAGTGAAACACTACCATGTCTCGAGTTTCTTGAGGACTTCAAAAACGTACATTTTATGTTCGATATTCACTATTTTTCCATCTATTTTTTTCTAAAATTCAAACATTTGCCAAGGATGGGTTGAAAAAATATCACACGAACGAAAAACAGTGATCCTGCCATTTATATCGCGTCAAAACAACGATTATACATTCTTCATTTTTAGAAGAATGTCTTCTCCGGGAAAAGTGATTAGCATGCAAGATTTGCATGAGAGCTATTGATTGGTTTTTACTTTAACTGAAGCCGAGTATGCGCGCTTCCGCTCACATAACTTTTCAAATGGGGAAACTAAGCCCGTTCTGTTCATGTCGACAAAACTAATATTATTATTTAAAATAATCATTATTGAATACTCATTTCCTTGACGTATTCTTGCATATTGTAACAATTTAGTTCATTTGTGATGTTTTAGTTTAAAAAAGACAAGAATGCTATAAAATTCCTCATTGAAGAATTTTCCACAATAAAAAATTACAAATGTTTCAATTCTAACACGACGTTCACGTGAAAACTACGAGGCCAGTAATTTTCCAGCCGTAGAAGATAGACTATTGATTACGGAAATAAATGTTCAAAAATTTCAACCCATACAAAAAATAAAATAACAAATAATTTAAAAAAAAATAAAACCGTATAAATCCTTCATGTTCGGACCATCTTGAGTGCAAACTTGATTGTTATTTATATATTGCTTATTATCTGGATTGGCAGTACTAGTTTTATTGTATCTGGTATATTATAGTGAAACTATATTATTTATAAAAGCTTAAAATAGACTGGCTATCCACATTTCTTAAACATGTTATTAACCAAAAAGGAAAAACAAATAGCGTGTTGGTTATTTACTTCCACAGAGCCGTTTACGTATGTATATCGGACGAATGATTATTATTGTATAACAGCAGGACGTCAAAACGTTTTTAAACTATACCGTAGAGACGAAAGTGGGTCATCTGGTTGACAATCGATAACTTAAAATTTCATACTTTCTTCTTTGGATTAATTCTGGCGGTTGAAGTAGAATTTCAACAGTTTTTAACCATAGATTTTGAGTTTTTATAACTAACTTTCAAAGGTTCGCGGAGCGTTCGAACCGTTAGTTTTTGTTCGATCAATCATAAACAATTAGATAACTATTCTAAAATAGTTGAAGCGAAGGTCGCTCTTTGACAGATAACTTAAAAAAAAAAAATTCACTTAATTTTTTTTTTTATTACAATACAAAATTGTTAGCGTTTTGCTGGATTCGCTCTGGAGAAAACCTTGAGGAAGAGAGAAACACTAAATTCTAATTGACGGGCTGTTTGAATAGCAATGGCCTTTAACATTACTGGTTCAACACAAGTTTTAGGTTTTTGAATTTATCTGAAAACTTTTTTTCCATTATTACTAAAACCTTTAATCCTTAAGGAACAAACGCTTAGGAAATAGTTATAAAATAATAGCAATAAATGATCATTTGAACTGCTATGTACTAATTTGTGTACGGGCCAAACAGTAATGAACACACACAGGGAAATAATAGGACTAGAGCCAGTGAGAGAGAAGAAAACTAACAGCAGAAAAGGAAAGATAGAAAGAGTGGGAGAGATACATAACTAAGAAACATAGGTAGAGAATGAAAAAGAAAAAGAACAAAAGAAAGAGAGAGAGTGGAAGAAGGAGGAAATACATAATTTGAGGTAAATCGAGATGGAGACCAAATAAGATAAGAAGAGAAAAGAGAGAGAGAGAGAGAGAGAGAGAGAGAGAGAGAGAGAGAGAGAGAGAGAGAGAGAGAGAGAGCAAGACAAGAAAAGAATGAAGATGGAGATAGATGGATAGAGAAAAAGAGGTAAACAGAGAGAATGATCACATAATTAGAGATCGATAAAGATAAAGAGTTAAATGGAGAAAGAGAAAGAATTGGAAAGAGGTAGATAGAGATATAAATAGAGAAGTAAGATAAGTAGAGAGATAATGCATGAAAGAGAGCGAGGGAGCGTGCGAGAGAGAGAGAAAGAGAGCGGGAGCGAGAGCGAGAGAGAGAGAGAGCGTTTAATGTATGGAAGTAAAAAAATGTATTGTCAACTTTGTAATATGTTCTGGTTCATTTTACCTATTGTTAAAAGGGTAAATTCTGAACTTCAAAATTAATTTTAAAAAATTAAAATATCGAGCTAGCTTCCATAAGTCAGTTATAAATATATTAGTATTTCTCTTTAAAAGAAAAAGCTTATGAAAAGAAGGCTAACAAGGCCAGGGTAATATTTTTTCAAAATTATAGAACATCGCTTGTACAAAACGTACACATTTATTATTAATTTTCATGTATTTTCTTAATTAACATTGAAAGGTTTTAATTTTGTTTTAAATATGGGTTCGGGTAATATTTAATTTAAATTGAAACGAATTTTTCTATTAAAAAAATAATAGTATGTAATTTGTCCCAAAAGATAAGAAATCAATATGGCTGTATCACATTTTGATAGCGTTTTTATCTCGGATTATTTTAAATTATCAAGGGCCTTAGAAACTGGTAAAATCATTCCAAAGTGAATAATTCGTTAACAATTCACTCCGCCTCCTTTCCCATCGACGTCCCCCTGTGGTGAATGATAGAAAATAGTTTACAATATTTATTACACACTAGAAGCCAGGGCTACGTGTTGCCAAGGTTTTGTACTATTCGTCCTGCTTTTACAAGCGGATAGCCTTGGTTCTTAGTTCCTGAATAACGTTCCATAATTAGGAATATGAGAAGCTTCGCACGCACGGAAAGAGTTGGGATTGTGAAAAAAATTACGACTCCTGGGATTTAAAAAGCGCTGTGTAGACTAGCTTTCTGTCCTAGATGTGGCATTATTATATACTCGGAGTTTTAATTTCAATACAAATTATAATATCATACATTTTACCTATAAATTTTTATAGCAAAAGCAACACAGAGAGCTAGGGATGGGAGTGTGTCAAAGTAAAATTATTTCATTGATTGTATTTATTTGCTATAATTGTTTGAAAGGAATGTTTTTATATAGGTAGATCGATAACTTAGTGATAATTGTTCTTTTTAAAACGAGTGAGGGAGGGGGAGAAAAAGAGAGAGAGAGAGAGAGAGAGAGAGAGAGAGAGAGAGAGAGAGAGAGAGAGAGAGGGAAGGAGAGGAGAGAGAGTGAGGGGTAGAGAGAGAGAGAAGAAAAGAGGAAGCGCAAGAACGAAAGAGCGAGAGAGAAGAAAAGAGGAAGCGCAAGAACGAAAGAGGGGGAGAGAAGAAAAGAGGAAGCGCAAGAACGAAAGAGCGAGAGAGAGTGAATTGAGTGAGAATATAAGAGATAGATAGATAAATAGAGAGAGAGAGAGAGAGAGAGAGAGAGAGAGAGAGTGAGTGAGTGAGTGAATGTGTGTGTTGTGAGAGAAAGTTTATCCATTAACTATTTCTCATTTCAAACAAAATTGTTTTTCTTCCAAGTTTTTTTTTTCTACACAGTGCTAGATGGAGAATTGACAATACAGGCTCAGGCTAATAACCCAATTATTGAAAATTATAAATTGTAATTGTAACTTTTAAATATAATGGCCAAAGCTTTCTGGAATATGTTACGGCGTCCATGCCCACTCTTGTTGTACTTATTTTGTTCTAACTCGTGAATGTATTTCATGTGGAATCATTTACAACAAATCTTTCTCCCTTTACAATATCAGTTATTTATTCAGAGTGCACTCTCAACACGACACGTAAGACTGGCACAATTACTCAGAAGACAAACACTTTGAGCCCTGAAGATGATCTCAATAAAGATCGAAACGTTGGCACGATAAAGAAAATGTTTTTCTGAAACCTACATCACACCAGACCGCATCTCACGATTTCTGAATAATTATCGATTAACGGTCACTAATCACCACACAAATATCAGTTATTTTATTATTTTCATTAATTTTAAACAAAAAATCTTAGTTATATGTAACGAAGTATGAGTAAAACGGCCTACAAGAGGTCAACCACAGGAACTAAATAAAAATAGAACGGTTAGGAGCGCAGTCCAGGGAGGCAAGGGCTGTTCTGAATACCCCAGATATGTTTTGAAATCTCTGGAATCGTACGATAACACTTTATGAAAATGATCCGAAAGTGAAATTAAGAAATAAATCCTAAATTGTGAAAAAGAATAAATAATGCTTGTGTATTTATTTTTTCATTTGCAAGCCATGGAAATGGGTTATTATGAAAACGAGGAGTACT